AATGAATAGAATATATAATATTCTAAGCATGTACTGGGCTAAACCAAGATCCTTGTGATGAAGAGTGCCCCAAAGTCATGTGAAATCAATCAGACTCTGACATCAAAGACACTTGAGTACTTTATGATTCAAAATTTCCTTCACCTGTCTGTCATCCAGGTAATGATCTTTATTTTTTTCAATACTCCCATTGTAAAACCTGTTCAACTTTGACACTTGACCCATATGATTTAAAGAACCAATGCCTTGTTTCTAACCTCTCATTCATAAAAAAAATCTCAGAAAAAGTTATTCTATCCCACAAGTATCTCATTTGAATTACCATAATCAATTATGATATTATCATTATACCAGATTGACTAGGATAGTACTTGAGATCAAGCAATTTCTTGTCATTTTGAAGACTTTTAGATCAAGCCATTCAAAAGTTTGCAAAAAGTTATTTTTATAATATTCTTGCCAGACCAATGTTTTCTATGTTCTATCCAAACTTGTATTTCATCTGAATGCAAACAGTCTTTTTGGCAATGTTCAATCTGCATATTGCCCTCACCACAGTACTGAAACATCACCTCCGAGAGTAGTTAACCCTTTCATCACAGCAGACCGCATATCGGGTAAAGGGGAAATAAATCCGTCAACACTATGGACCGAGTTTTCGGTCTAGGGCAGTGTTCTTCTTTAACATTATAGTACCCAACTAAATATCTTTCGGGGTACCTCTAATAACTTCCATCTGGTAATGTAGATGTTATATTTGGATTATCTCGTGAGTTTAGCTTGTATACAACTAGAAATAGGTGGCACTCTACAGTTTCGTATTTAGCATAGGGTTAAAATTTTAAAGAAAAAGAGTTTCCCTGGGTTTCCTCACTAGTTTTACTGGTTATTTAAAAGAGACTTTGTATATCTTAGGTATTGTTCAAAGAACCTTTAATTCCCTTTATTTTGATGTATGATTGATGGGTGTAATATGGGTAAGGAATCAGTACACGAATGTAGTCCCAGTCTATTTTTAGATCACTTTTTCCGGTCTAAATTTGGTGGTGATACTAGAGTTAGATTTTGGCATTCTTGGTAAGGATTTAAAGACAATTGATTATTCTTTAAAATGTGATCTTATGGTGTGGTTGTCTCTGTGTATTTCGGCGACAGTGCACATTGAGTAATAAGGTCATGGTGATGATCCGGAAGTGAAATCTGTGTTCCGTTGCCTGGTGTTTTGTTTACAATTCAGCCTCTCAAAAAAATGCAGGTCAACCCTTGACTAGAACTAAACCGTAAAGTCATCTTTGAAGGTATTTTAGATTAACATATGATTTGTATTGATTGTCACACAGTGGAAAGTTCAGTACTGAGGAACAAATGTAGAGAAAATATAGTAAAATTAATTGTGTACTATGGCCGTAAGAGAGTATACAGCTTGGCCTTACTGCAGATGTGCATCTTTCAAAAAAGTGCTAGCTCTACTTGCTCATTTTCACTTCTCGAACTTCAGAGGTAAATTGTAGAAAAAAAGAGCCGATAACTTTTGTTACATTTCATTTGGTAATTCAGTCATTGCACTTTTAGAAGCTGGTATAATCTAGTCTGACAAAATTAATTTTCCATATTTTAATAGCTGCCAAGAATAGTGTACTTTAGACAAATTTAGGTTGATTTTTGGAGCACAAGGGAGCAGTCATTTTAGTTAGCAGTGTCCTACGATCATTTAAAATTTCCAAAAGTACAATATCTAAAGAAATTTCATCCACATTACATGAAAGTAGTATATAGGTATGCCAACATTCTCTCCACTGTGCATGTTTAAAATGCAAACAACTTCACCTTACATACATCACTCTCTCAAAAGTGCATAATAACTGGTGAGCGTCACCAATAACGAACAAAGTAGGAACTTTTAACGTGTTTTCCGAATGCTGAAATTTGTATCCAAAATGGCAGTATTTAAAGGGATTTTAGAGGAGAGTTTTCTGAGGATTTAAATAATTTTGACCTGATAGATTTGGATGAAAATGAAAGACGTATGGAGAGACAATGGAATGCACTTGTGTGTGACAGTGATGATGATGAAGATGACTTTGAAGGTTTTGAACCAGAGGAATTGTACGCTCCACGTGGTGTTTTTTTGGACGAAGCCCGAAAACCAAAGAGATTTGTTTCAGTTTTCTGACAGAGTTGGGCACACCCGAGAGTTAGATGGCTCCAGGATTATTTTCAAATATTCTATTCAGATGAAGTTTTTGGAAAATTTGTCCGTTTAACGAACTTAAATGTGACGATCAAACGTGGCAGATATGATAATAGGTGTGTGGACAGATTCACCTTGGAGATCATTTTGGTTCATTTTATAGAATTTTATATATTATGGACACCATGAAAGAAATACTTGTGTTGCTACTGTGATTATTCACTAGTACATCTAGGGTCAATTGAACAAGTTTTGAGAACTTTCTATGATTTCTAAGAGCTAATGTTTTTTAAGAGCTAATAAAATAATTACTCGTATTTTACCTGTCGTCTTACCTGTTTGTACCTGCATTTTAACAGTTCTAATAGATATGCACATTTTATTGATTAGTCATAAAATATGATTTTTAACCTTTTTGACACCTAATCCAGCCAGATATCTTTAACATTGGCAAAGTTATGTTGTTTCAAAGTCCACAAGTCATTTTGCTTTACAACTCCAAAGTTACTTAGTGTTGAGGACTCTATGCCTACAAAGTTACTTAGTGATGAAAGGGTTAATGACCTTTTCTCTGCTCTGGATAGTGGAAAGATTACTCATCCTCCTTGACTTGTCTGAAACACAAAAGACTATGATATATTACTTCACCATCTCCAGCATTGGTATTCACAATATAGCCTTAATATTGTTCAAGTCCTAATTAGTCAGCAAGACTCAATTTGTGTCCACAAATAGAAAACATTCCAGCCCAGTTGATCTGTTTTGGTATTCCACAAGGCTCTCTTCCTCAGCCCTGTTCTCTTCGATCTATACGCTTATCCACTCTTAAAGTGTCATAAATTGACTTCTGGCGGCATCACACCATTTGTAAACTGATGACTCTCAAATATACAAATCTACCAGCCCAAATGAAGATGAGGCTACTATCCAAGGCTAAGAGAGGTGCATTTCCAATGTGAAGTTATGGATGACATATAAAAAGCTGCATATGAATCATGATAAAAGTGAAACCATCCTGATCATCACACAAAAATGTTATCATTCACATCCTTTACCTCAAACAATAAGCATTAGCAATACCCCCATAAAATTAACAGTCAGGATGAAACCTAGATGTCACTCTTATTACACCAACATATAATGAACATATGGAAAGCTTTATTCAGTTTCCTTTCAGCTGATGAAACTAAATCACTTTTTTTTTCTTTGTATTTTCAAGAATGGAATAGTATAATTAATTTATATATGGTTTATCTCAGTATCTGCTAAAGAAATTTGAAAAAGTTCAAAACATGGCTGCTCAGATCATCTTTAAAATACAACAAAAAAAAACTGAGCACACCTCCCTTGTGCTCTGTAGCCTTCACTGGCAACCCATTCAATCCAGAATCAAAAACAAAATCTGTTCACCATGCAACATTTCATTTACTAGTTCCAGTCCAATATACCTATCTGACCTCACCCATGTGTACTCCACATCGAGAAACTTAACACTCCTCTTCTTACTGTTGTTGTTACAAGGTTGTATGCCATTTATCAGCACAAGATAGGCTATACATGGTGCCCAGAATAAATGGTGGAGACGAACCTGAGAAACCCCAGAAAGAACCACCAAAACACGAGAAGCTACAGGAAAGCTTTCTCACATAACCACACTGGCTCAGCCCAAGACTCAATCAATTCCATGCAGACAGAGATGAGATGGCAGTGATCTGTAACAATGAGTGCTTTAGACGACTCAGCCACTTGTGGCCCTCCCCACTTATGAACTGCTTATAAATCTTAGACACTATGTTCTCATGTGCTTTTAAAACCCACCTATTTCTACTACAAGAAAAGACTTGAAGACTTAATATTATTTTCTTAATTATTGTCAGCATGTTTTTGTTTTGTAAATTAATGGTTTATTTTTTTAAGCTACTTGTTGTTTATATTTTTGTTATCTAATACTCTAGAGCTTAAAGATAGTTGGCACTGTCCTATGTCCACATTATTATTATTATTATTATTATATTTTCTTCTAGCCTTCTAAATATGGCTACTGCAGGAATTACTGAGAGTTGTTAATATATCAACAATAGCTGACATCATACCTTTTTATATTAGGATGAAATGAACAGTTAAGCTGATAAATACAATATGTACATTAGGTTGTGTCCACATTCCTCACTTTTTGGGCTTGAAATGCACCACAGAACTCAAAACTACAAACTGATAAAAAATATTGGATTTCTTTTGATGTGGGTATGCTAATAGGTGAACAAGATACTGACACATTAAGAACCTTAAAAAAATCAACACATACCTAGATCAACAAAACTCATTATTTCACAAGACCTTTGATTTCATCATCCTGGTGAAATACCAAATGATAACAAATTTGAATCAGATGTAAAATATTGTAGTCATGTAAAATAATAAAATTGCTACAGCTGAAATCAAGTATGAGAAATATTATAAATAATTACAAGTGGAAAAGACAGAATCCTCAAAATACATGGTATTTAAAGTTTAGACATTTTTTTGAACATGGCACTTAAGATACTATGTACCATATATTTTCACTTATGAGTCCAAATGTTAACTGCATAGATCCAGATCAACTGTAACTTAAATGCACCTGCAGATCTTGGTCTGAACAGTTTACCAGGAGTAATCAGTAAAACAAACAGAATTGACCCTGATCTGCAAGTGCATTATGTTATAGCACACAAAGATCTTTGTTGATTATAGACTGACTCAAAATATAATTGAGTGGATACATAACCCTTTTTAAGCATTGGCAGGTTTGTTTTATCTGTATTGAACTGCTTTGGTGGCCTAGTGATTAGAGCATCAACCTCTGATGCAGGGGGTTGTGGGTTCGAACCCTATCTGAGTCATACCCAGACTTATAAAAATGCTACATGAAGCTGCCTTGTTTGGTGTTCATGCATTAAGAGGTTTGTGGTAGGACTGGTTGACCTAGTGTTGGGATAATGTGACTGGGTGGGACATGATGCCACATGTCTGCAGCATCATACCCCAGTGCTAGACATGACTATAAGCTTTCCCACTGCAGATATCATACTGATATGACTGAATAATCATGTTAAAAAATCAAAAAGCACACACACCATCTGTATTGATTCTATATCCAGAAAACAATTGCTTGAAGCAGCTGTCATTGTAGGAGTTACTGATATTCCAAATGAATCAACATTATCTTACTTGGTCATGTTATCATCTTCCAAAGTGCCACATCCATCTGCCACTGATGTATCTAAAGCAAATTGATGTTCTGAGAGATCTTGCAAAGAACTTCCCAATTTGTCAATAGATGTGTTCCCAGAACATTAATACTTATGAACATGTCATCCTGCCACAAAGAATATTGTTCATTAATGATGTTTCTAAAACATTATTACTCTCAATTTCATAACTATTTTTTCCATGGAAATGCCTAATTCATCAGTGTCAAAGTCCGTCTCACTGGTCATTACATGGCAATTCATTGGATGATTTACTTCAGGCAGCTTATAAATAATACTATAGTATTTAATAGCTGTCTCTTTAGTTTTACTGCAGGATATAAGTACTGTGATTATGATTTTTAATATAGCTTTTTTAACAATTTTTCAGACATATCGTTATGATATCTGCAGAGTGGCAGTTTATAATGATGTTTAGCACTGGGGCATCATGCTGCAGACAAGTAGCATGATGTCCCACTCACTCACATTATCCTGATACCAGGCCAACCAGTTCTAACACTAACCTCTTAATGCTGAGTGTCAAGCGAGGCAGCTGTTATTACCATTTTTGTAAGTCTTTGGTATGACTTGAATGGGGATCAAACCCATGACCTCCTGCATCTGAGGCAGATGCTCTAACCACTAGGCCACCGGAGCTGTTGATAAAAGTAATGTAGTTCTAAGACAAAAACTCCTCACTGCACCACATCTAGTATAGCTAATCAATGACTGGATTTTCTACAGACACCCTTTGTCTACATTAATTTCACAACCAGACAACAATTGGGATCCCATTCACACAACAGTTGCTTTCATTTAGTTTGATAACAGGCTTTTTGTTGTGTTTTGAATCCTTCATTCTTGAAACACTCAAATTTGTTGCACGGACAATGACTAAAAGTATATTATTTAAAATTGGTATACTTATTAAAAAAGCATATAGATTACTGGACTTGCACTTTTGTGCTACATACAAATGATAACAGAATTATGGACAAAAGTTTAGAGTATGTATATATGTATGTATGTATGTATGTATGTATGTATGTATGTATGTATGTATGTATGTATGTATGTATGTATGTATGTATGTATATGCATGTATGCATGTATGTATGTATGTATGTATGTATGTATGTATATATGTATGTATATGCATGTATGTATGTATGTATGTATGTATGTATGTATGTATGCATATATGTATGTATGCATATATGTATGTATGTATGTATGCATGCATGTATGTATGTGTGTGTGTATGCATACATGTACATATCTAGTTTAACAGCCAAGCTTGGGCCTGATAATACTAAATAGGAATATGGCACCAGGGATGAGTTTCTTCTTATCAGCTGACTAAGGAGGGAAGAATGGAGTAAACTCCAACTCTTGATTTCTTTTCAACCATAAAACAAAATGATTCATTTATCAAGAAATATTGAATCAAATCAGATCATAACCATGATAGTCTTGTTGTTTGCATACAAGGACAAAATATTTTCATTTTCTTGAGATACAGTTTGGTATATGATAATTTCACGCAAGGTCCGGGCCCACATTAGCACTTTATAGTTCACTATATTATTACTCCTTTAGATGAATGAAAATTACAAGATTTACCATATTTGGATTTAATTGTAATAAAGTTTAATACAGAACAGAAAATATGACTTTACTGTACTATGTGAAATGTAAAACACATTTTGCCTTGATACTTCAACTATAGCTTAATACTTATTTGAAGTGAATTAATAAATTGGGTGTCAAGTTGGTGAAAAAAACACTCACAATGACAGACAACTAGCAAACTGAAAAATAGAAACATAAAAAGTTAGGTCTTTATAGATTGCTAAATTAATCAAGTATTGTTGAACTGATTTTTAGAATACAAAGTCAGTGAGAAAAGCACTCACAATGACTTAAACATTCTGTTTCCCTAAGACCATTTTTCAACCTATAATTTAACAAAGAAGTTATATATTTGTAGTGTCAAGAAACTTCTCTGATGTATTTAGCTTCATAAAACCAATTAAATAAAGAAAATAAATAAATAAAAGTATTGGTCTGTGAGGACAACACTCACTTGACCATATAAATGAGTTTCAAATAACAAATAATAAAACAATATCTAGTCTGCTTGTAAAAATAAATCAGAAATTATATATAAGATTGCATATAGTTTTGGATGAGAGAAATAATCAAAAAACAACAACAAAAAAGTCTAAATAAATAATGCTTTGTGCTTAAATAAACTTTAAACAACAATTTAGTCCAAAAACTTGCAAACAATTACATAATTTATAAACTAAACAAAACAAAATTAAAAACTTAATAAATAAAACTCTCATTATCTGTGATGTACCTAGTTTGATTGCTGCTAGATGACTAAACCCACAAAGCCTTATATGCTCCAGACAAAAACCACAACAGAGCCCACAAACCCCCCAGTTCTGACTCACACAAAACCCATTATGCCCACACCCCCATTTGTTGGAATATTCAAACAAGTATGAGCTAGAATTATTGCATGTGCATATTTAGTCAATTTTCACAATGATTATATATAGAAATTATCACCTCAATACTTTTTACATTACTACAGTAAGATTGTATTGCCTCCAGAAAAAAAAACAGTTCTGTATTTCACAGCACATATTGTGTAATACTGTCGCTCACAGCAAGTTTACGGAAGCTGTGTTTTACAATATTACCGATGTAGACCACATGAAAGGATAGCCAACATGGGTAACTACCAAAAAAATAAAGAAGTGAAAAACAAACTTAAATGCAATGTTGCATATGTATTAAACAACAGGGGAAATAAACACATTATGTATGTATTACACAGTCTTAAATGGTTAACTAGAAATAGGTTATAATCAAATTATTAAGGATGCCTGCCGCTTGTATTGATACAACTGAATTTTGCTAATTCAAAACATGGAGACTATAACTTGCCAGGTAACAATTAAGAGACCAAGTAAACAAAACATAGGATCATGGAAAATACGAATGCCATCTAATTTGCACAATTCACTAGTAATGAACTGCTTTTATAAAAAAAAAAACTGAGGCTGAATAGGACAGCATGTATGAAAAGTTTTTACTGTATACATGCATGTATATTGCACTCCATAAATGCATGTTAAGTATGTACATAGTTGTTGTTCTGGGGCTTAACAATGTATGTATGTATGTATGTATGTATGTATGTATGTATGTATGTATGTATGTATGTATGTATGTATGTATGTATGTATGTATGTATGTATGTATGTATGTATGTATGTATAAATGTATGTATGTATGCATGCATGCATGCATGCATGTATGTATGTATGTATGTATGTATGTATGTATGTATGTATGTATGTATGTATGTATGTAAGTATGTATGCTCAAGAGATTTACACCTATGTTAAAATTTAAATTGATAAATATCAAACACCTATTATCTCAATGGATAATTTTTGTTAATAAAGTAGAGGATGAAAGAATTTTTTTCTGCTTATGTACTTTGTTTTGAAAGACATTTTTCACCTTTAGCTGATATTACAACATGTCCATATACTTATTAGGAAGTTGCACCAGAACCATTATTGCTACCAAATTTGATCATTTGTGGTGGGCTTGATTCTGCAAAGTGTCATACATACATACATACATACATACATACATACATACATACATACATACATACATACATACATACATACATACATACATACATACATACATACATACATACATACATACATACATACATACATACATACATACATACATACATACATACATACATACTTACATACATACATACATACATACACACACACATTCATACATACATACATACATACATACATACATACATACATACATACATACATACATACATACATACATACATACATACATACATACATACATACATACATACATACATAAACCCTTTCTCAACTTATTTCTGGCAGGTTTACTGGTTTTGGCTTTCATATCTAGAGGTGATTGCCAATGGTGTAATTTGCCCCATATTGAGTAAGGTTAACACAAGGTATGAACTTATGGGTGAAATAAATAAATAATCTGAGTGGATATATAGAACAGAATAACTCAGCCCCCATTACAAATGAAGACAACATTTAATCAAATTTCAAAAACAATAAAATTTTACAAGCAAATGAAATAAATGTTATAATTCAAAAGATACACTTTTTCCCTTTACAAACTAATTAAGGAATATCCAAATGCAAATAAGATTATAAAATTAGTTTATTCTGTTTACGATGGAATCAAATCATCATTTAACTGAATGAGAAATTGAATAACACAGCCATGATTCATAACCTGGTGTTTAATTCCATCCAGAAGGTCCATTCAGACTATTTCTCTGGACTCCCTCTCGCTGTTAAGTCCTCTTTTTTGCTATACTTTTCTTTTACCAAAATTCTTGGCATTTCAGCATTTTCCCTTTTTGGCTTTTCAATCTGTTTGGGTTGTAAAACATGTCTCTTCCCAAAACTATTTCACTTTGTAAAAATATAAACAAAAGCAGACTAAATCTTCCATCACATTATGCAGGAATAAATTAGTCTCAACCCTTGAGGTCAGACATAATTCTATCAGATTCAAACTGACATCCATTCCTATCTAAACTAATTGATCATAACAGAACATACTACCTAGTTCCACAGATTAATTGTCTGCTTACATTCATTTACACCACACTGAGACATTAATTTATTATTAGTCTCAGTACACAAGAATGAATTAAATTCCTTACCCTATGTTAGTGTTACCAATACACATAATAAACTCATTCAAATAATTTCCATGGCTTCCTGTAATATTTACATTCCAACAATTCATCAATGTCTATAAAAAAAACAATCTGATTGTACAAACTCAGATACATGAGCTCAACAGTTATTCTAGATACATAATTTCCTATACAACAATCGAGACTATCACTTAACGAGCCATCAAAAAACATATAAAGAAAAACCTCATTTTTGCGGACACAGATAATCAACTCAACACAATTATACCATATCAAGAAAATTGATCTATGACTCAAATAAATCCCTGCAAATACAAGCAATTAAATCAAACATATTGTCATATTATCAATGACTTAGATGAGATTTATGTAAATACCTTGTTTTTCAAGCTTTTGGTGTCTGTCAAATCCTTCAGACAATTGTTTCCCCCTTGGATGCTTTTTAACAAAAAAATTACTCATTAAATTCTCACAATCACTCTAGGTCTTATGTTGTTTTCTCTTGTAGAAAAGTGCAGACAAATTCCACTACTGCACATCTAAACCAATAGTTTTTCATGTGAAAGCATCCCCACCTCCACAGTGTAACCAATCATGATCACATAAAATTCCTGCCTCACTAGCATCAAAACACTGCAATATGTCTGACAACAAATGGCTACCAACTGTTTTCTGGTCAATGTCCCAACTATCAGCTGCCATTCAAACCAGGAATTTAACTCGATTCCCCATAAGTTTAAATAAACTAAGCCCTTAATTTTATAATGATAACTCCTGACTTTGGTTGAACCAATCCGTACATATGGCTTTTTAAACATGGTCATTCTCATAAATCTAGTTAATCATACATGTGTCTAGCTAAATGTTTCCTACAG